CCCCCTTAAAATATCTAGATAGTGTACTTGGAACAGCAGCACCCCAGCATGAACCTTATCTGGCCCTTGTGCAGCGCGGGAAGGTATAGAATACTTCCAGTACCTAAACAGACTTCCCAGCAGCTAATGCAGCTCAATGCCCAAAATTAATTGATATTTGGCAACCCATTAGAACCGATTGTGCCCCTGGGTTCAAATGATGAATAAATGGAACATTTGAGCCTCATTATTAGCTTTAACACATTCAGAACGCGAGACACACCGGTGCGTTTTGCAATATATCAATAGAATTTTTAGAACACGCCAGTGCGTCATGCGCTCACGTACCAAAGTTGGGTGAAGGGTGCGCATGACGCACCAGTGCGTCACAGAAAAAAAATACCTGAGGGGAGGAGTTTATTGTATTTTAGTTATATAGAAGACATACTAGCAATATTTTAACGGTATTATTTCCCAACAAATGCACCGTCCGTCCGTGAAGTTTGTCAACAATGTATAAGCATTGAAAGTGTTAAATAGATCTCGGTATTGCTGATCAACAAATCATACAAGTTTAGTACGTAACATAATATATATTTGATAAATACTTGGGAATGAAGTTACATCTTTTTTATATCCTAAATGTATCCATATCTTGTATTGCTAAAAAGCCTAGCTGTTTTAAAAACGAAATACGTTATAATTCCAACATGCAGAATCAAATCTTAACATCATCACCGCTATGTATAAATTACTGTAGTATACATTAGGTCAAAGTAAAATACTAGATATTTCAACAAATCTAACTATCCACTATAATAGAGGCTTTTTCGCCAAAAATATGGCTGTTTCAAGTTTAAGTTATAATTTAAGTAATTTGTGTGTTTTGAGATAATTAAAAAAAGATTTTGTTCAAAAACTTTTTTTTCAGTATAGTCTAATCATATTAGACGAAAATACCTCTGGTTTTGCCAAATACTTGTAAAGTCTAGTTTTATTTCTGCAAGTTGTTCAAAACATGACGCATAAAATGGGTACACCAACCATTTTTGTGGTAAAACTTTTTATTCGACACGAAGAATGAGAAAACGTGTTTTTTGGGATTCAATCGAAAGTGTTGGCAGAAACGAAAATACTCTTCATATAAGATTTTTAGGTATTTATGAGACCTACAAATGAGACTACACGTAAAAAGATCCAACTAATAGCAAAAAAGTTATGGCCGAAAACCAAGGCAAACTGCAGGTTTTGGCACTTGTTGGTAATGGGACGATGGATTCTCGTAGATACTTGAAATTCTTCGAATTCGTAGGATTCATACTTTTAAATAACCACAACAAAATTGGAGTAGAATGGTCAAGTAGTTTTTGAGAATTTCTAATTGTTTATCCCAAAACACCTGTTTTTCTTCTGCCATCACTACTAACTTATTGAGCTCAAAGGGCATATTGAAGCAAAATACACTAGTTTAACCTTGCCGATATGAATCGCAAACCATTCCGGAAGATAAATGATATTTTTAATGCAAAAAGAATAGGTTATGTTTTTTCTTCGGATTTTGTGAGTAATTCTCAACAAAAGATGATAGTCACATCCGCTTTGTTTTAAAATGTGCATGCGCATTTGTTCAATTACTCACAAATACAAAATGTTTGAATTTGTTTAGAAGAAAAAACGTGAGCTTTGTTTTTCGTATAAAAATAACATTTATCTTTCGGAATGGTTTGTGATTCATATCGGCAAGGTAAACACGTGAATTTTCCTATTAAATGCTCTTTGAACGAACTCTGTACATTGCTCAATATACTAGTAGTGATGTCCGGAAAACAGGTGTTTTGGGATAAACAATTAGAAATTCTCAAAAACTACTTGACCAATATACTCCAATTTTGTTGTTGTTTAGAGGTATGAATACTACGGATTTGAGGAATGTCAAAAAGATGCGTGAGATTATCGTCGCATTACCAACAAATGCCAAAACCTGCATTTTGCTTCGCTTTTCGGTCATAACAGTTTTGCTATTAGTCGGATCTTTTTACGTGTAGTCTCATTTTGTAGGTCTCATAAATAACTAAAAATCTTATTTGAAAAGTTTTTTCGTTCCTGTCAACACTTTCGATTGAATCCCAAAAAGCACGTTTTCTCATCCTTTGTTGTCGAATAAAAAGTTTTCCCACAAAAATTCGTGTACCCATTTTATGTGTCCATGTTCTAAAAACCCGCTTGAAGAACTTGCACGAATAAAGCCAGACTTTAATTATTTCGGGGAAATTTGCTAATATGATTAGACTAGTATTTTTATTTTCCCTTACATTATGCTTGAAAAAGTTAGCTAATATTAGCCTATCACAGAAAAGTTTATAAGCCAATATCATTGAATGTGGCCAATAAATTAAGCAAGAGATAAATAAATTGGGATTTTAGTGTTGCTTCGGTTCTCACAGCAGCCTTTTTAAAAATCAAATTGTAAATTAATTTGAAACTTATGGCTGCATTGCATACAAGCGCAAGACTAGTCTCAAAAGTGTATCAATCTCTTGCAGACTTTACGAATAAAATGTAACACCAAAAGTAAAAATGCATTGGCCAGAGAAATTGTTATACATAGCACGCGACAGCCGCGTAATATCAGTGAACAATGCAGAGAAATATGAATGAACATTGTCAATAAATCTATGTCTCGAGTAAAGTATTTTTGTTGGCTCACATATACACACACAATTTTTCTTGATATTTAAACTAATAAAAATGGCTCGATAAAACCTCTTTGCATCCAAGCGCTGAATTCATTATAGTATGAGCATAATGGATATCTATAAATAAGTCCTATTAATTTCACAAATACTGCGATGGACGTATCGATCATCTAACTACTTACAGAAAGTAGCGTCTTGAAGACTATAGTAATTCCAAGTCTATAATAAATTCTTTATCTTAAAACTCATATAACTGAGTTCGACATTCACAATACCAACTCTGTCGCTCTGTATCAAAGAAAAAAATAGTAGCCTCATACTGAATGTTCATCTTAATCATCATCAATGACCAAACCAGTTTTGGCATGGTGTGCTGTAGCATGCTGACCCCGTTGTAGTACACCTGCAGAAAAACAATAATATCAAAGGATGATTACAAAAGGGACGAAAATGTATCAAACTGAAATTCGGGACGATAAAATTGGGCATGAATACTATAGTTTAACGTAATAATAACAGTTGAGAATTTCGCCTGGGCGCGTGTATCAAACATTTACATGGAGTGAGGGGTGACTATGTTTCAAAATTGCGGACGGGGAGCTGTGAAAGTAGATCTTTCTTTTACTCTGAATTAAATTACTCTGTCAATAATTTAAATTTTATTATAATTTTATTTTGAGGTCATTAATTATGATTGGTTGTTTGACCATCTACTACTGTAATATAAACTCTTTATAATTAAAAATTATTTTTACTTTTTAGTTCGAGAATAGATAGAAGCGTGTCTTTTTTTATTCTTTTAAACTAATATTTCTTTTGACGAGTTCTACAAGTTGTTAAAATGACTCAACTTTGAAAACGGGGATAGCAGAAATCACGTGAAACAATGGAAACTAGTATTTCGATGGCTGTGCATTAAAAATTGCGTTCTGAAGACCATCTGAATCAGACCAAGTTGGAGGACATCTGAACGTACTTTCTGATGACCTAACTAAACTAAAGAGACAATGAAGGCTTTTGCTTTTCCAATTAATAATACAAATAGTATAGAAAAAACATAATTTCACACATTTTTTGCGACCAAGGCACAAAAAGCGTTTCAGCCGACTTACTAATGGCAAACTAGTAGGCTCAGAAATTGAAGAAATTGTTCAGAGGAACAAACATTCTGCATATTGGCAGAAATCTCCGAAATGCAGTCGATGTGAGGATGCGCGAAACTACGTGATAAGGAAGTATCACTGATTAGACAGATCGCTCTCCTGTGAACCTCAATCAGCTGGTGCAGCTGAGTGGTTCGCGCTAAATCTAGACTAACATTATAAAGAAGTAAAGTTTTTGAGTTTGTAGGCAGTAATCTCTGGAATTATTGAACCAAATTTGAAAAAAACTTTCACTAGTAGAAAGCTACATTATGCCTGATGACCATAGGCTATATTCGATTCAGAATAATAATGCTTTTAATTTGAAATAGTATTAGCTAAGGGCTACAGATCAAAAAGTTGCGGGAAAATATAATCGTGGCGATCATCCTCACGGGGCCAGCAGTGGGACAACTTGCTAATACCCATGATTCAGACAGATTTGCCAATATCGTTCATAAGGCTGAATGCAGTAATTAGTCGAAGTTTCTTTTGCCCTCACAATAAATAAATTTCCCAGGGTCAATCATTCTCTCTGGTGGACATTGACTTGAGAAAGGAATACTTTCCCAACGGCTTGTGTCGAGTTGGAACTCCGAAAACCAATACATTTTGCTACCAGACAATTGAACAACATCAAAAATAGTACATATAGAAGTCTTAAACAATTAACATACTCGCTCAATACATACTAGCAGCCAACAACAAGAAGATAAACATGAAATAAATCCTGCTTGCTGCCCTTAAAACGCAACTTTCATACGCCAAAACGCCGTCTGCGTCTGACTGACTTTGACTGGTGGCTGCATCGCCGGTTCTGAGTTCTCTTGAGTTATACTAAGTGACATATAAATCCGAACACCCAGTTTAAATGGTTTTATTTTAATAAAAGTTGGTGAATGTATTTATCTTACTGTACATAACAAGTGAACAAATATTCAGTCTTATCAGTTGGACATTCCGGTTTTTACTGCTTTTTTTAATTCACTAACGCTCTAAAAATGAATATTTCAGCCGCAGTAAAGAATCAACGTTGGCGGATTTTGGTTCTTGACATCCTTTACGATCGGTTACGATGCCTAGAGTACGGAGACCTGTACGATTTCGTCAACTTAGTGAGTTTGATAGGGGCCGTATAGTGGGACTTCGGGAAGCTGGACTTTCTTTTCGGGCAATTGCAGTTAGAGTGCAAAGAAGTGTAGACACTGTGGTTAGGTGTTGTCAGGCATGACTCGAGAAGGCCGTACGCAAAGAGCAAGGGGCACTGGACGCCGCCGTAGAACAACAATGGTTTGCAGAACACGGAAGACCTATTGGCATGCGAAGTGTTTACCGACGAATGAGAAGTTTTGGCTTGTTTTCATAGGGGCCACACTGGGTCCTCCCTTTAACTCGAGAACACCGACGTAATCGCCTTGAGTGGTGCAGACAACAGTCACTCTGGGATCAGGAATGGAACAGTATTTATTGTCTTTAGTGACGAGTCTCGATTTTGTTTAGGCATGCAAGATGGTCGTGCCAGGGTTAGAAGGCGACGTGGTGAAATGAGGAATCCACAGTTTTTTGTTGAAAGACATGTTCATCACACTGTTGGAGTTATGGTTTGGGGTGCTATAGCTTATGGTTCCAGGTCACCTTTAATCTTCATCAGAGGTAACATGAACGCGCAGCGTTATATCCACGAAGTTCTAGAACCCCATCTTTTACCCTATCTTGACACCCTGGCAGATCCAACTTTCCAACAAGATAATGCCCGACCACATGTTGCAAGAGTCACAATAGACTTCTTTCAACATAATGATGTCACATTGTTACCATGGCCACCAAGATCTCCCGACTTATCCCCAATTGAGCACGTGTGGGATATGATGGGTAGGAGATTGCTCAATTTGCAACGTCCTCCTCAGACTCTAGAAGCACTTCGAGAGGAGTTGGTGGTTGCCTGGAATGAGATACCACAGGAGGACATTGACCACCTGATCAGAAGCATGCCTAGGCGCGTTGGAGAATGCGTAGCACATCAGGGTGCATCCACACATTATTAAAGGTCAAAGGGCTTTAAAGCAGTGCAATCATTTTGAAATTTTTATCATTTACTTATTATGCTTCATTAAGTACTTATACAAAATTTTATTTAAATAAAACCATTTAAACTGGGTGTTCGGATTTATATGTCACTTAGTATATATTACCCATGTGGCTGAGCACCGTTGCCAGATGGTCGATATGTAGAACAGGGAAGAAACTTAGCGTTATGAAGGGGGTGGGGATTATGGAGTATGGACTAATTGTGTAGGCCTGTTTGGCTGACTTATTCCATTTTATTTTCCTGTTATACACATTGGTAGCTAGTTCAGAGGGACTAACTTGTGCCGTACATAATCGTTTATGAACTGATGATAACGTTTGCGTGGTAAGTGCAAAGTCAACGTACTTGACGCCATTTTTTATGCGCCTCCATGGAGATCAAATATCCGTAGCTACCGGGGGGCTATAGGGTGATACAAAAGTAAAAGGAAGACGGCATACGGACTCTGGAGGGGAAACACGTATACAAGTGACAAGCACACATTCTGACCCCACTGTAGTGATCGGACGGACAATTAACAACATCCATAGCCAAGAGAAAAAATCTCTTGGAACAACAGTTAACAAACCACTATACCCCCGGGCTACATATACTGTCACACAGTTTGTTTTATTCCGTTTTATTTGATACATACCTGCGCATTGTGTTAAGCAATGCAACGCTGCTGCTGAGGTAGCTTTGAGAAGCAACAACTCCCTGTCAATATGATATTTGGAACCTGCTGTTTCAATCGCTCTACATAATGCCGAATCTGCTTGTTCTGTCTGATGCAGTTGGGCTCTCAGGCAACTGAGTGCGTCTAAAACAGCCAAGTGTTCACGAGCTGGAAGAGACCCTGGACCTGCTGATGACATTGCCTGAAAAACAGAAAGCATTGAACCAGAGACACGAGTTAACATCTGAAACGTATCCTGTGCTTTACACTATATATTGTGTCTCAGAAGTCAATGTGAACCCGCAAATGGGAGATAGGTCAAGTCATAATAGAAATTAAAACAATATAAAAAATCTAAGGCGTGTACTTTTCACGACAAATAGTAACGCCACTTTTATTAATTCGTGAATGTATTTATTGAATTCACAATAGGTGTTCAAACTGCCTTCGTTCAGCAGCAATGTAAGCTTGACATCTTGTTAAAAATGATCGGGTTATCAGGCAGACGAATCTTCCATTATTAACAAATTCTGCTGCTTCCGTTATTCTGTCCCGTAGCTTCGAGTAATTTTTTTCTTTCAGCGCTCCCCAGTAAAAAAGATCGAGTGGATTTAGGTCAAGAGAAACGGCTGACCAAGTCTTGCTGGTACCACATGTCTGTGTAGATGCTTAGTGGCACGTGTTCCAATAAATTTGGTAGATGATCGTGTAAAAAGCATAAATGAATTTCGCCATTCAAAACTAGCAGCTCAAAGGGTACAATGATTCTCCCATTTAGCATTCCGGTCCACATGTTTACTTTAAAACGATACTGTGATCTATCTTGTCTCATCAAATATGGATTTTTTACATGCCACTAGTGTAAATTGTGTAGATTCATGTAACCATCTTTTCTAAATGTCGACTCAACAATCTTTAAAATTTTCTCTAAAAATCGCGGATCTTCCCGGTGTCTCTGTACCATTTGACAAAAGATAATCCCGGGGTTGTAGCGATTGTACTCGCTGAATATGGGACAGGTGGAGCTGATTCTTTCGCAAGATTGGGTGGGCTGTACTTTTGGGCACTCACGTTCTTGCTTCTATTTGATGTATGGAAGTACTCGGGTCTTCTTCGACTGCTCGTAGTATAACGTCCTCGTAAGGAAAGGAAATTCTTCCTTCGCCATGTGCTTGATTTGGGAATCGCCCCTCTGAGAGTAAACGGTGCACATTCTCAAAAACTAGGTGATCGGGATGACGTGCACCATTTGGGTATCTCTCACGATAAAGCCTAGCTTTTTTTATATACTTCTGATAACTATAATAACTTGGCCTTTCCCCATTTCCGGCTCGACGACGACTTCTGGAACACCCTGTATATTGTACATTGTACATTTACAGTAAAGATAGTTCTATCAATACATGTGGATTTATTGGCCAGACAAGCATGGGAGATTAGAGATATGAGTATATATGGATTTTATTTGATCCAAGATAAAAATCAATACCTTTGGCCAATTCTTTCAGTGAGCAACACATTGGTTTCAAAAAAGGATTAAGGTTCATCTAAATGGCAGTAAGATCTCTTTCCTACATTGTTCGAAAAAACGCAAGTAATCAGTATCATCCTTGAAACATGAATGGAAACAATCTATTTCAGCTATTAAAAACACAAGTTTTTCAGAGTGAAAATATTCCATCATGGACATCGTTCGTCAGGGGAAACCAGTAAGAATAATCAAATCTACATGTTTGTATGTTAGTATCATCCCTTTTTTATGGAAATTATTATCTGTGCTCCACCTTTTTACCTTTAGAAATATACTAAGTGACATATAAATCCGAACACCCAGTTTAAATGGTTTTATTTTAATAAAATTTTGTATAAGTACTTAATGAAGCATAATAAGTAAATGATACAAATTTCAAAATGATTGCACTGCTTTAAAGCCCTTTGACCTTTAGTAATGTGTGGATGCACCCTGATGTGCTACGCATTCTCCAACGCGCCTAGGCATGCTTCTGATCAGGTGGTCAATGTCCTCCTGTGGTATCTCATTCCAGGCAACCACCAACTCCTCTCGAAGTGCTTCTAGAGTCTGAGGAGGACGTTGCAAATTGAGCAATATCCTACCCATCATATCCCACACGTGCTCAATTGGGGACAAGTCGGGAGATCTGGTGGCCATGGTAACATTGTTACCAATGTGACATCATTATGTTGAAAGAAGTCTATTGTGACTCTTGCAACATGTGGTCGGGCATTATCTTGTTGGAAAATTGGATCTGCCAGGGTGTCAAGATAGGGTAAAAGATGGGGTTCTAGAACTTCGTGGATATAACGCTGCACGTTCATGTTACCTCTGATGAAGATTAAAGGTGACGTGGAACCATAAGCTACAGCACCCCAAACCATAACTCCACAGTGTGATGAACATGTCTTTCAACAAAAAAACTGTGGATTCCTCCTTTCACCACGTCGCCTTCTAACCCTGGCACGACCATCGTGCATGCCTAAACAAAATCGAGACTCGTCACTAAAGACAATACTGTTCCATTCCTGATCCCAGAGTGACCGCTGTCTGCACCACTCAAGGCGATTACGTCGGTGTTCTCGAGTTAAAGGGAGGACCCAGTGTGGCCGGTAAGAAAACAAGCCAAAACTTCTCATTCGTCGGTAAACACTTCGCATGCCAATAGGTCTTCCGTGTTCTGCAAACCATTCATTTGCAATGGACCTGGTAGTGGAGAAACGGTCCCTTAAGGTCAATAACCTTAGGCGGCGATCTTCACGGTCTGTTGTTCTACGGCGGCGTCCAGTGCCCCTTGCTCTTTGCGTACGGCCTTCTCGAAGCCATGCCTGACAACACCTAACCACAGTGTCTACACTTCTTTGCACTCTAACTGCAATTGCCCGAAAAGAAAGTCCAGCTTCCCGAAGTCCCACTATACGGCCCCTATCAAACTCACTAAGTTGACGAAATCGTACAGGTCTCCGTACTCTAGGCATCGTAACCGATCGTAAAGGATGTCAGAACCAAAATCCGCCAACGTTGATTCTTTACTGCGGCTGAAATATTCATTTTTAGAGCGTTAGTGAATTAAAAAAAAAGCAGTATAAAAACCGGAATGTCCAACTGATAAGGCTGAAAATTTTTTCACTTGTTATTTACAGTAAGATAAATACATTCACCAACTTTTATTAAATAAAACCATTTAAACTGGGTGTTCGGATTTATATGTCACTTAGTATATATCATATTAAATGCAAAATTACAAAGAATTGACCTTAAGAACTGTAGGCCATATTCAAAAATATCCAATATGAAGCTTATTGGAGCTGATGATTGAAGAGTGGGAATGTTTGAAACATCATAATCCTCAAACACAAGTTTTTCCTGAGCTCAGATCCCGTTGAGGTGGAAACTATCAGCAGCTGACTCATCACAAAGAGTGGGGAGCAGCCATGGCATGTGGGACCCTTTCAACAGGGCGAAGAGGCAACTGACCCACTTGCACCTTTTACTAAACATTTTAAATTCAGAAATAAGTTACACTGAAACATATTTTTATTGAAAAACAGTAAATTCCGCAAGAACCCACCTTAGTATGAGATTCTGCAACTGCCCTCAATCCATTGACCCATTCTTGTCTAGCTCTAGCATCTGTAGCTCTTAGCTTCAACATGTCACCAGAAGCACAATTTACTGTAAATGTTTTACTATCCTCTTCACTTGGGCATATGACAGCACCTGTAACATTATATTGTAGGGGAATAGTACATACTAAAGATGCACAAAGTACTATTTGTAAAAAAGGCCAAGTACCGTGTACTCGCACAGATTCGAACAATGAGTACTCGGTGAAGTGATTGGCGCCGACTTCATTTCATTTACTATGAGTAATATAAAGGTTACATTTCGGTTGGCCGCGTGGGTCAGAGTGTCGTGCTACTGATCAGCCGGCCGGCCGGGCCGCAAGTTCGAATCTCGCCTTCGCCATGGATGTTGTGACGTCGTGTCTTTGTCCATAATTAGACATATACAAGTTTGGATCTGGCTAATGGGACGCAATGTCCTAGTGCCAAAAAAAAAGAAAGGTTTCTTTAAACCCCTTTCAAAAAAATCATCTACAAAATCAATGTACCACAAAAAAGACTATTGAGGATGGATGTCTTTTTTGTAAGTGAAATGGTTAGTGCATTGCAGTAAATCCTATTCACAAGTACCCATCACGTTTTGACGTCTGCTGAGGCGAACAGCTGATCAGCAAGTGACAACTTTGTATTAGTCTGTATCAATGGCAAAAATAAATCGGGTGTAAATCTAGTAAAACTTGTTCTGTAGTGTTTTATTATCTACATAAAGTTTAAGCAACTCTTTTAATCTGCAGCTGCAATACTGACTTGAAAATAACCATAATTTGACTTTGGAAACATTTTGTTTGTGATACTCTTCTATTTTTCTTATGCCAAAACAAACAGATTTTTAAGGCAAATCAACATGATTGAAAGGTAAGTTTCAGGATAAATATGAACTTATAGAACAAAACTTTCAGATATGAATGGGCCTTACATTTGATGGGTATATATGGAACTATTTGAACCTACATCTTTGTTGAGGTAGGCAATCTTAGCCTTCATGCTGCACAAATTTCAAATGTTCTGTATAAACACAGAAAGCATGTAATTCACCTTACTTTTTGAATCAGTTTTGATTCATATTGGTTAGTGGTTTCTATTATTTTTTAATGTTCATAGAGGATATAGAAGGCTTCAATGTGGTTTAAACAGCTATAAGGTAGCTGATCCATGGATATACAAAAAGCAAGGAGTTTATATAAAAAATAAGCTGCACAAATACACCAGCATACTGGAAGAGTCTACATTTAATAAGGAATGGCCCAATTCAAGCAATATTTTATTTAAAAACATAACTTGACTATCTTCGATGGTTGTATTTATTTTTTGGAAAACTTATCAGGGAGGTGTGGAAAACTTCATATATGATGAGATTTTTCACATCACATCTTTCATTTATACATTGATTATCTTGGGTTTCAGACTGAGTAGTTACCTGAACGAGCAATTAAGTACTTAGCACAACCAGGTATTCAACAAAATGAACTAAGTATGCAGAGTACATGGCACAAACCAAGTACTCAGTGTTAAATACTTAGAACTTAGGTGTTAAGTATTAAGTACTGACTTGAGTCAGACAACTTCATTGTTGCAAATAGTTGGCTGAACTTGTTGAGCAACCGAAGTGGCATGCATAAATGGGCTACTACCAGCTGTATGTTCAAATACCTACATCAAAACAACTAGAGCTAAAACAGTTTCAAGGATTTGATTCATTACATTTCTCCCATATGTTTTCTCAGCAGCTATATTAGTAATTATGGCAATTGCATAGAGCAGATATGACTAGCATCATCTGTCATTGTTCAGCAGCTTTAACACTGTACTGTCATTGAATAAGCACATTATTTAACAGTGGCACTTGTCACCTATTCTCTAAGAAATTTAAAATTTGATATAGCAGCCAGCATCAGTATAAGTCTTGCTCAGCAGAGTAATCAGTAAAGGGCATCATGAAGAAATTATAATACTATTTAACCATTTACCTGCTAAATGCACTGAACCTCTTGGTACACTTCCATCAGGCTTTTCTCCCTCACAAAGATAATAATGCAGCAAGCCTGCATTTGCATCCACCAAAAAGTATCTATACTGCCAGCCTTTCATGACATTTGTATACTATACAGCTGTCCACTGAACTGTCGCTGCTTAGTGTGCAGCTCCATTACTGACTGAAAAAAAATAGTCAGCTTTAGATTTCTATGCAAGAAAATAGTAAACAATATTAAATGCTAAAGCATTATATCTGTATATTGAAGTTGCAACCAAGTGAGTACAGTATGTTACACTTAAAAATATGTAATGTTCTACTGCAACTCTGTGGTCTATCATGGATCACAGTTATTTATAGTACTTTTCAATAGCATCTTCCTTCTGGGAAATTATTAGCTTGATGGGAGAGGGATCCCTCCAAGTCTCTACTTTAAGCATTGCATATTACTAAGAATTTGAATACAAATATTGTTCAGAGAAATCCTAGACGTTGTGCCTGCTTCTATGCGTGTGCAGGTTCTGATGTTAATCAAGTCATAATTTTTCTATGTGGATGGTTAACAAAATATAAAATAACCTCAACAAGCTTGTTATGTGTCATGAACTTTTCAGTCTACTTGTGGCCTATCTATCACACGCTTGTAATACATGCGGTACCACGTCCAATATTCAGAAAGACTAAACACTAGTTTAAACTATGCTAAAATTGAATTTACAAATTAATATCTATTTCTAAAATGATTTCTTTTACTGGCTATTATAATTCAACTTCCATGCTTTTGATCAGTCACAGTCAGCTGTCAGCAGATTTGACATCCCTGTCAGTCAGCGTCAGTTGTCAGCTAAAGACCATTAATGAACATTACAAAAATTGATTCACTGGCAAGTGATTCATAATAGTCCAGTACGTAGAGACTGAAATCATTGATTTAACGTTATATTCCAGGAAAGACGTATCTGCGTCAAAGCGGGATAACGTACCGCACGGGGTAACATGTAAAAAACCTATAAAACGTAAAAAACCTATAAGATGACAACTTGCAGACTAGGCAGTTTTCATTCCACGTTTTGCCTCACTAGGATCGTTGTGAACGTCCATCTATGGAGAATCACTCGACTAACCTACACGCAGTATTGTTTGCATAGTTTGTGAGGCCTGAGTGATCCGTTGTCTGTAGTTTTTATCTCTGAGAAGAATGTTGGTTGAATAGCAAGATCGCATCTGGATGATAATGTGTATTGGTCTGCATGTGTATAAAATCAGTGATATTTGCCTGTGTGAGAAAATCATTACTGAATATGACGGGTTATTTATATGTTGTGCTTTCTGAAGAGGTTATGTTCAGAGTTATAAATTACGCAAAACTGAAGAGAATTACGGGATAAGAAAAAGTGATGCGCAACTAATTTCTAGCTTTGAATCTCAATTAAGTTTAATTGAGACAAGAACGCAATTGTAATTATCATCAACACATGCAACTTACAGCTTAGACTTCCTGTACTGCCATCTAAGATGCAGATTTCACATCACATCAGACCATCAGAGCCAAATATTGATAACAAGCCCCCATAACGGTTAGGAAACACGTACAACTAAGTGCTAAGTTAACATCTTGTAGAAAAAGCCACATAATTTCAAAAAAAAACAGTTTGTATGTAATGTCAAAAAAAATCGGCAATAATGTCACTTTTCAAGATACGTGATACCCGTGCCGAAGCGCCGCCAACCACTTATGCTTATTATGGTCATTATATACTTATGGCTGTGCTTATAGTCTACCGTGTTCAGGTGACAGAGTTGCAAAGAAGTAACGTAAACGCGAAAAATGCTTTTTGAATGTTATATCACATGTATGTCAGGAAAATTATGACACTTATTTCTGTCGGTGTGCCTGTCGATCTGTCTGTCCGCTAATCTCTAGCGCACCTATTAATAAGTACCACATGATTCCGACGAGGGCAGGGTCTGGTGCACAGACGACTCGGTTCCTGAAAGAGCTCTGGCGCCGGGGGACTTTTGGCTCAACACTGGTCCTAGGAGAGGAATAACAACCTTTTTCGATAGCGAGGCTGCGATGTGAAAGGCACTAAGGGACGTATCGTCTGTCGTTCCTACAATTGTAGGACCTCTTTATGACCTCCTTGATTTTCATAGTTTTCTAGTTTTCCGTGTCAGCGCTCTATTTTGAGGTCGCCAAATATCTATTTGCATCAAACTGTTCATGCTTTTGTTTTACATGATGTCTGCCGACGCTCACACGGAACAGGTGCCAGCTAGATATTTTTGAAGCAGAGAAAAGACTATGACAATTAAGCAGGACATAAAGGTGTCCTACAATCTACAATTGTAGGAACGACTGACGTTCGGCCTAAGTGCCTGCAAAATTACTTCGAGCCTTGTATTGCAATGTAGGGAGGCTCTGTGGATAATCTAGCAGCAAGGCATCCGGTATCGTTAGTGTGGGTACCGTAGCACACTGGAATAAATGGCAATGATATGGCAGACGGTCTTTCAAAAGTAGAATCAGGGAGCAAGCTTGTTGGTCGTGAGCAGGTCGTGAGCCAACCCCAGGGGTGCGCGCGCAAAGTGTTCAGGAGGAAAATGGAGAAGTGGATTGCTAGTGAACACTCTCAGAATTTGAGAAGCATCTCTAGACATCTCTGGCAGGCACGGGAGCTCATGATAGGGTCTAGTGTTAAGGATGGACGCTTTTGCTTATCTTTGGATATAGCCAACCTCAGGTAGTTGCTGCTCATAACACGATGAGGTACCACCTATATGTGGTGTGGGTGGCTGAGAATCCCATGCGTAAGCGCCGCGGGGTAGAGGAAGAGTGATCTACGCTTGTTCTGCGTTCCTTTCTTACAACTGCAAAAAAAGAGATCGGATGCAATTGTGTTTTGCAGACAAAAACAATGACACCGTTTTCCAAGTGCAAGAGCGTAAATGCAAAGATCTTGCTGAATATAAAACGGTTTAAAAAAATAATTGTATCAACGCTGGATACTAATCTCTGGTATAATTTCATCCTACATGCTTCAACAAAATGATTACATTGGTATTCTGTATACCTAATATCATCATATACCTTATGTAATACATTCCCAACATAGGCACCAGTATAGAATACAAAATTAATATCCTCTACAGTATATATCTATACTTATCTCAAAACGTACAGCAAATTTGCGCTTTTCACCTCTCAGAATGTTTTTCAGTTCGAAAAGACTTAACGAGCATATCACTAAATGCTATTATTGGTGTGTGTACTAAAATACCCATTCTCTTTAATTGGGAGTTAGATGGGCGGGCCTGACGCCTGCATGAGCAGTGAACTCTCTGAAGGTCGTCCATATAAAAGTTCCCTATAAGTTCGAGTCAATTTTAGATACAAACTCTATCCAGTACTAAAATCTTTAACATTGTCTCTTATGCACAAAATGTTCCTGGAATGCAGTTATTCAACCGAATTGACATGAATAGCATTAACCAATGAAAGGTAGACGGCTGACCTCTTGTTCATGGATTTCTTAACGAAATGACCTGAACATTACAAGATTGGATCCTAGCCGAGTTTTAAGAATCGTCTACTAGACCATTGTGACCACATGCTAAAAGAGTCAACGGCGTCCGAAAATAGATTTCTTTCCCATCCCCATCCACGACTTGATTGGTTCAAGCGGTATTGCCATCTCTTAGCCGGAATTGTATATGCCTACCACCATTCCAGGTGTACATACCTACGCGTCAATTTCCTGTTCAGTGGTTAAGTCTTATTCAGTAGATGGCGGGGCATACAATATTTCACTGGCGACACTGGCGACAGGCATGAGGCTGGCAACCCTGGCGGAACGAAGTCATTTTCATTTCACAAATCGTAAAAGAGGTTATTAGCTTTTTTTACTGAGATAAACAGTTAATTTTAAAATATTTCAGTTTTTTTGCTGCGGTTTGGTTACCGGTCTATTAGTTCCCGTCGTCGAGACTTTTCGCAGTGAAACCAAAGTGCCCAACCAATTCAGCCTTACTTATCTGCATTTTAAATGACAGCTGTATGACTAATAGGCGGTACCCTCCGATGAAGACAGACACCCAGGGACTCCGTTCTGGCAGAATGCTGTTGTGATAACGCAAGACGAAGATGTCGAAAAACAACCTGAATGGTTCTAGAAGCGTCTCCTCAAACAGTTTTAACAGTTTCATGTCAGATGGGGAGATTATCGAGGCAGGGCTCGAGGACCTCAGCCTCACCAACAACAAAAACCACAACAGGCCCTCCTCTACCTCCAAAACGCAGAAAGCTAAAAGGATCAGATTTTACCACAATGGCAATAAGTTCTTTAACGGAATTGTGATACCAGTGGCCCCAGAGAGGTACAGGTCTTTTGATAGCCTCACTGCAGAGTTAACAAACATCATGACAAAAAATGTAACCCTTCCTAGTGGAGTAAGAAACGTATATTCAATGGATGGCAAAAAGGTGAGTTTAATTTTAGTAAGGAGGGCGTGATTTTGCTAGTATTGATTTATTTGTGACAACAGGAAATTGGTAACTGTTTGTATCATAAGGTAAAGATGATACCCTCATAAAGTTAGAAGATAAGGCCATATTATTGCATTTTATTGCTGTTATAGGTTACAGACACACTAACATTTTTTGTTTGATTTTGTTCTAAAATAGTAGATGGCCTACTTATCTACTATTTTTTGCCTCTTTTGTAGACTAATATTCTTGATAGTGGTGGTGAAACATTTTTCCTTTCCAATCACTGAAATCATTTCACAACTAATCAAAATTTTAATGATATAAGTTAGATTTAAGTGCAAACCTTAATGAAGCATAGTGATTGATCTGGCATGCATAGGTATTATATCAAAAATATACATCAATTATACAAGTTTTGAGGACGAATGTATGGGGAAGAGTATTATGTATGAAATATATCTAATAGGTGTCTATTAGGGTTGTAAATGTATAAATACATCCATCTAATTTTTCATCCCTGCAAAAATTTCTCTGAAAGTAATCAGGATTCTCTGAAATGTCAAAAACAAAGGCCGCAATTTTTTATTTTGTTCTTTTTCTCTGCAACCACTGGACTAATTATTGCATACTAACTGTCCAGATAATATTAAGTAAGATCTATACAAGAAATACAATGCAATTTCTGAAGCAATTCCATCAGATCTTTTTAATTAGGTTTTTATAAGATTTATTTTCATTGTGAGAAATCCAGTTGGCAGAATTGTACAATCTAACCTAATTGTATGGAAAGTAAAACTTCTTTGAAATAGGGTTAGAGTCAAGAATTGGCTTCAACTAATTTGATTATTGTTGAGCAATCTTCGATTAACCTTAATGTCACCTCCTGATACAAGTTCCCTCAAATAGGTATAATGGTTCTTGTGTGGGTACCACTATATCTATTTCACATGTATCCATCAGGCTTTGATGTCTACTGAGGTGAACAGCTAATCAGCAAGTGAGATTTTGTGTTATTCTGTAATATTGGTAATAATGACTCAGGTGTAAATCAAGTAAAACTTGTTTGTAGCGTTTTGTACTTCATATGCAAATGAACTTTTCTAAATGAAAGAGCTTTTAGCAAGTTCAAAATGAATCTGTAGCATACAAAAAAAAAACAAAACAAAAAATGGCTCTGTCTATCTGGCAATGCCAGATCCATCAGTATTATGTGTTCTGTGTCCATATGGGGAATTTTGAGATATTACTAGATAATCAACTGTCATTATACCGTGATGGATACTTGTGAAATAGGGTATATACTCATTTGACCACTATACTGATTTGACAAATCTAAGTAAGGAATATAATAGAGCAGAAACAATAGCATCAAACTTTCAAGTATAACAGTTTCTGTTCCTAAAGAACAAGATGATTCTATTGAAATAAAGAAACTTCAATTGGCATTGTTATGTGACTGATACATTTATCTGCTTAAAGTATAAAATAATCTATGGTTTTTGAGTGTTTCACTAAGGGAATATGTTTATGGATCATGAAAAGAACAAGGGTCTCTAAGGCGGTGCATGTTTCCGTCAAAAAAGCATACCTGAACTATCTTTAGGATTGATCCGGAGACAGTGCCTTTTGAAATAGCATTATCATTTAGAAGACTATTTACTTCATTTAACTGAGATAAATTATAGTTATATGTTAGTTGCTTATCATTGGCATATGTGTGTATCTAACAAAATTCTGTGCATGAGTGCAGATCAATTGTATTTATGAAAAACAGCAGAGGTCCCAGAACTGACCCCTGAGAACCACAGATGAAATTACTCTAGTAGATGAGAAACCTCCAGCTGTCTTAACTGCCTATTTGTGTTATGCAAATAGGGTTAGAAAAACTGTAGAGAATATTTGAAATACCAATGTAACTCAGCTTGCTCAACATTATTTTATAGATAACTGTATTGAATGCTTTTGGAAATGATTCATCACTAAGTAGTAATTATATGTCTATCTGAGTACCTAATAATGTTGTCAGTCAAATAGACTGAGCTGAAGTAGTGCTTTGTCTTGCACGAAATTCAGATGAGGAGTAGGAAATAAATTATTTTGCTTCAGATATTCTATCAGTTGTATTTATACCACTCTGTCTAAGACCTTCAAAAACAAAATGCAAGCAATCCAACTATAGTAGCTGAAAAGAATGAAGATTTAATTGTGCTATCAAGAGAATCTAGAGATACCTATATCAAAATCCACCAAGTTATTTAAGATGTAAATTGATAAATAAGAATTTCAAGGTTGACCCTATGTATCAAAACGCGTCATTTTGTTTTTATAAAATTTTAATATAGTCAGTGTCACTGCTCAGATTGACACTGATAAGACAAATCCAACAAAATAAGTTGAAATCCAAATCCAAATCAAGCTGTTTAAGCTATGCCCTGTGTAGTAGGAATTTCAAGATTGATTTTTTTTTCAAAATCTGCACTTTGTTTTTATTAAATTTCAATATAAGTGGTATCCCTTGCATGCTAAAATTAATACAGTGACTCCTCATATGTGAAATATATCAAGTCATTTGGTCTGTATCCTGTGAAATAGAATTTTTCGGATACACACATACCCACGCGTGAAAAACATTTTATGTTTTTAATTCATTTTACTGTTATTTTGTCCCTAGCTTGACGTTTTGTTGACATTCTTATGTTTTTTTCGTAATATCAACAGAAATTTTCGAATTTGATAACCCTCCTGAGGCAGTCTGGTAAAAACAACATATTAACAGGTCGCAAATGATTGAGGTCAGTCGGATTTTTTCATTTTGGCAAAGGAATTATTGCTTCCTATTAAGCCACCATGGAGAGTTCGAGTCTCAAGACACATGTTGATTGCATGTGTAAATATTTCAGAATTTCAGGCTAGCAGTATTAACATGTCAAGATTACAAAAGTTGGCATACATAGTTTATTCAACATCAATTGATGCAGATCCTTCACTTTGAATACTGTTATTTTGTAAAACATGTACATATTTAATCTTGATGACTGTATCTGAAGAAATGTGATTAAGGAGTTCCTAGATTCATTAGTTCACAATCATGATATATGATAGAAATGTATGGTAATTGTTCAGATAATTGTATGTTATGTCACTACAGATATAGTTCTGCCATTATAACAAATGGGTTTTTGTTTGTTAGAGTGTTGCATAAATATATGTGACAGCAACCATAATATGAATTTTCAATATTCCTGAAATCATTAATGATTGAAATGTTCTTAAATTCTTCTCATGGTATTCTCAATCTTTTGTCATACTTTATCCTTGTCAATTATTATATCAATACATGCGCTCGTGAAAAAAGGACTGAGGTGCTTTTGCAAGATTCTTATAACAACTGCAGACATGTTGAATGCCAATCGTCTATTCTTCTTCCTTGTAGATGGATTTTGTAATTTTCACGGTTTATTTTTAGTCAGAAGGTGACTTAAGAAAATCACACCAAATATTTAACTTGGCCCATCATCTTTTTTAAATTTGTGTAGTAGAATTCTATTAATAGATTAATTAGGTGAGATGTCTGGTTAATTTTAGATGTCATATTGATCTCTAGGAACGACTGGAACTCAGAGGGGGAATAGAGTAAGATGAAAACATACACAGTGAACACGCCTTGTTAAACAATCTAGTTTGAAAATAAAGTGTATAGATAGATTAAACATTGGGAAAACTGTTTTTCTATTTTGAATCAATCCACAATGTTATTATTCATTTATGGCGCAGATACGAAAAAGGGTCTATATGCAGAGAGATAATGAAGCTACCATCTGTTGGCCATTTTCTATACTTATTATACTCTGTGTTCTGACCATATTACAAGAAAGCTAGGCACTTATTTCATACATCCCTAGGCAATGTAATATATTTTTCACAATACTTGATCACGTTTTGACATCTATTGGAGTGAACAGCTGATCAGCAAGTAACATTTTTGTACAAAAGCGGATAGTGTTGGTAATAATGATTTTGGTGAAATTCAGGGCCGTATTTAGAACAATTTGCACCACACAGTGATATTTGTTTACATACATAACATACTTTCACTAGGACTTGTTACAGTGAAATATATAAAGTACACATAGTAAAATGCTAGAAGATTATTATAGTGCATATATGGGTCTTGTTGATAACAATGTGAGGCAACAGAATAGATCTCAACCAAATACGACTCTGTTTTCAGATTTGGCGTTCACGGATCCGTCAGTTGTCTCTCACTTGTCGATATGGATATCTTAAATGCCACTAGATAACTAGCTGATATTTGTCACATTTTGACGTGGTGAAGTATCGTGCAAAATAGATTCCATTGAAGTTGAGGACCAACCATTAACTTCGTCATATTTTTCGGCAGCTGGTTAGTTGTAATATGATGTAGGATGTGTGTAACTAACTATTGAGTAGCTGTTAATAGAAGCAAGCAATGCAATTATTGAGTACGTTTTTCGTATATGACCCATCTTGGATTAAACGATTCAATTGATGAAAAGACTGCAGTGTTTAGGAGCACCTTGTAAGTCTAAATTAGAAAACAGCAATTTCTCGCTAGGTTTCGGTTCTGCGTTGGTTTTGCACGACAGTGAAAAAAGATCGTGCAATCTCTGATCGAAATAATAAACGCGAAGAAAGTTGGTAAAGTAGATCCGAATGAAATCAAAAGCAGTGTCGCGCTCATTTTCAGTTTCACCGGGCGTATAGCTGACTTCAAGCTGGTATCTGAATTAAAAGAATCGTGCATTAATGATTTCCTTAAAAACTAATTGATTTTGACTTTAGAATCTTAGGTTAGTTCGCGTTTCATCTGAAGCGTAGCATGATTATATTTATTTTCTTTTATTGGAAAATATGAGTGAAAGTGTTTTAGCGGCACAGGCAAAATTGTTTTATTGTTAATCATTTTCATATACTGAAGCATCTTCGGAAGGTTAGTGAATATCAGAGTATGAATAATTTGCGGAGATCTGATCTTTGAATTATCTGTAGGGTAGTAGAATTGGGGGCGGTTTCGTCTGTCAGATTGTTCCACTTCTTGAGCCCTAGGAACAATGCAGCTTGCACACGGTATAGATGTCGGAGCATAAGTTACAGTGAGAAGCAACAGTTTGGCGGACATAATGACGGAAAGCTCACATTAGCAATGTCCTGTGGCACGTGGTAACAAAGAGCGATATGACCAATTACACTTCTCTGTGAAAGAAGGCTAAAGAGTATACACCAGTCAGATGGATAGCCCTATTATGAACCATATCACCAAAGGACGGTTTAGTTAGAGTACCAACTCGCTACATGTTATGCATCGTTGGTCGCCACTTATTGAAATACAGTGTTCTGCTTGTTACAGAATTATCAAACTGTAGAATTACTGCGTCTCTAGACGATGGTAACCTTCAGCTTGCTGTTCCGTAGCTCAACTACAGAGATCGGCCCGGCTCAGATTTGGTACGCCGAATGGCTTGCTTATAAAGTGCTGTCGTCTGCGAATTATAGCGAGCGATATCTACTTAATTCTCATACAAATTCAGGGAGATGTTCATTAGGAAACGACACTTTCTGATCTTCATATCATGTTTCTGAACCTGATAATCACCTTGGTTTTGCAAAATTAGGCATTATTTATACTTAAATATTACTGTTTGAAGGCTAATCAATTCTGCCAATAATAGGAGTTGAGCGATTAACAGCTGCCTTTCTGTTCACCTAATATTTGAAAACATCTATGTTTTTTTTCTAAACTTGAAGCAGCCGCACATGCAGAAGCTTAAATACCAGGACACCGCGGCAGCTATGCAGAACTTAAAGAAACTTTGTTAATCCGATTGTTGAACTGCTTAAGGTTAGTAGAACTGGGAAAAGCCTCCCCAAGTGGATTGCCCCACAATCTCGATACTCTAAGGACAAAGGAGACGGGATCCTAAACATGTGATCAGTACTCGAGGGTAGTTCTTATCTGCGCCTTGTACAGAGTGAGAAGGTCATGTGGAGGAAAGAACTACTCATCCCTAAACAAATATCTTATTTTTTACCCAGTAGCTGCCGCTATTAACGAGATGTGGTCGTGCCAGATCAAGTCCTGGTGACTCCGACCAGCCTAAATGAATGATCTTTAGTAGAACTCAGCCATCCACCGAAACTGGATGAGCGCGTTTGAAGCATTAAGCTGTACCATATTGTTGCGTCCCCAAGTAGTAACCTCTAGGTCTTTCGTCAGATGAAGTCGCCGCTAGTCGTCTTTTCTCCGGCAGAGATCGGCTTGTCACTCTGAATTCCTGGTAGAGTGCTGTCAAAGCTGTGGATCGGATGATCGTACGGGAAAAGAGGTCGCTGATATATGTAACAGGAACAGTGTCGGAGCCGAGACCGATCCCTGTTATTGTGGGATGAAGAGGATAACACGTCAATTACGACGGATATCTTGGGGCCGGGGAGGAAGCCAGCCACCCGTCTGTAAAGCTTCTCTGGGTCGCCATATATGATGGAAGTTTACATAAGACGGCAGCATGCCATAAGTGATCTAATGCTTTCTTGATATCAAGAGCAACGACATGGGCCTCACCGTAAGACTGGATGAGTTTACTCCACAGTTGCGCGTGACGTATAAAATATTTTTGGAGAACCTTTTTCTTAAAATATATGTACATTTTTTCGAAGTAATCACATATTTATAATGTGACTGACATGTGACCAGGGAAAATTTTGTTGGAAAATTGTTTAATCACCGTCGCTGCTGGTTGGAAGTAAATTGTAAACCAGTTTGTAAATAACCGCAAAACAATCGACTGTAATCTACGATCGCTTACCGCATAAATTATGGTTCGTTCGCCGGCGGTGTGGTATTTTTTTGAACGATGCCAGACGAGTAGAAAATCGCGTCACAGATTTACGCTATTCAAATGACTCATCGCCGAAGTAAAAACAAGAATTTCGATAAAGTAGGTGAATGACACATACTAAAGGCGGTTGTACACGTTATTGAAAGCTTGACAGGCATGTTTGATCGACTATGATTCATTATGTTTATAAAATATTTAGCAATGCGAAAACCCAAAATGGAACCAAAACCCATTTCCACCTCATACTGGGATTTCCGCAACTAGATACCAGCTTATTTGTTTCAGGCGTCGTTTCCTAATGCCGATGATATTGTTCAGAAGTTCAAACAGCGAACTTTTCGTATTCTGTATGGGTTTTTACTTAGTACAAATTACCAAGCAATTAATAATCACAATCTTTCTAACAGACCCAGGATACTTATATGAAATATTTCTTCCCAGATAACAACGCTGCTAATAGCAAGATACCGGAAATAATTTACCTACTCACAATTTAGAAACATAAAAGTGGTCTCGCTTTGTGACGAAGAAAATTGGTTTATATTATATAATCGCTTGAAAAGAGAAAAAAGGAATGGTGTTTCCTTGTGCCTGATTCTTTTGACCTACATTTCGGCTCTCGTTTTCTTGAAGGTTCAAAGTTTTACCTCAACAGGCAATAGAATATTTGATA